AAAAAAAAAAAAAATGGCCGACTGAGGAACCACGACCACCCGCTCGGCTCCGTTGACCTCAGCAGAAAATGTCTTTAGGAAGAATTCAACAGTTACAGGGACGTATGACTTGAGGAGTGAAACAATCTTCTCTTACCAACATACAAACTTTTATAAAGAGAGGGAGAAACAGGACGACGGCTTAGACAAGTCTGTACATGACAGCTGAACAGAGAGAGAGAGTAAAATGATTAAAAGAGCAGAGGAGAGGGAGTGATGTTTATGATAATGTAATCTAATAATGCTGACTGCTCTGTATTCAGTACAGTGTTGACTGAGTTAAATTATGATATCATTTTAATTCCTACAGTTTCATCACTGGCTTCACCTCAGGTCGATCTTGACCATCTGTTTTTTTTTCTGCGCTGCTTTCTCCTTCTACTCTCTGACTTCTCTTTCCTCTGTGTGTTTCTCTAAGAGCAGAGGAAGGGAGTAGAGGAAAAGGCCCCCGGGGCCACTTTTTTGTTTTCATGCTTTTTATGGGAAACAAACCCTCTGAGTGAAGCAAAAACAGTCATTTCACCGTGAACACTCATTATGGCACATTAGCCTGTTATTTAGGTGAATGTGAGTGTTCCCGTGTGCTCTCATCAATCTGGGGACGGAGATCAGACTGAGGCTGAACTCATCTAAACATCACAACACCACACAACCCTCAAGCTGCACATTCACTCGGGAAACTGAGAACAGATCCCAGGCTGGTCCTCGTCTCCTTCACCAGACTCCTGCATCGACATGTGCAGCACATTATAACAAATATATGTCTGATAATATTCACAAACAGACATTTATTTATCCATCCCTACGTCACAGAGTGAGTCTGTTATTTTAAAACAGTGCATTATGGGTTGGTTTTACAGTCTTAGGCCTCTATTTTAACAGTCTAAAGTGCTTTCAGGGCGCGTCCATGTCTTTTTTTGCTATTTTAACTCAAAACAGTCACTGCTCCAGGCGCACGGTTCAAAAGGGTTGTACTTAGTTTCTTAATTATTCATGGGAGTGTTTTGGACGTAACATCCAATAAACCAATCACAGTTCCATCTCTACCATTCGCTTTAAAAGCCAGGCGCACTGCACCTTGGCATATTGCTATTATAATGGCACAGAGTTTCACACAGAGTTCTATCTATCTATATCAGAGTTCTTCCCCCCCTGAGCGGTTGAACATCACGATGGCAATTCTTCAAAACTCCCAAACAATTATTTCTCTTTGCCACTTGATGTGTCACATGTTAATATGGTTATGTTTTTACATCATTCTCCCTCCAGTTAAAAAACAGTCCGTGCTTGACATGGTTACAGTGCCTAAAAGGCATCATCAGCACGTTAGGTAACAGGGAACAAACACACTCCACCGTCTTGTTTACCTCCTCTGTTGTCATGTGAGAAGTCAGAGTTCAGATATGAACTGAGGAGGAAGCTGCAGTTGGATCCCTCCTCTCTCTCTCTTTCATCTCGGGGTAATTGGACTAATTCCCTGATGCGTTCGGAGGCGGCTGGGGAAAATCCCCGCAGGTGCCTTAAAACAGACGCCCTCTGTTTGTTGAAGTGCTCAGTTGAGTTTGTGAATCCGCACCAAGACAAGATTCTCATGCAAACGTCCAGGTGCCTCAGCGTATGTGTGCCACAAGTTTTGGCTCCAGCCGCTCTCCACCTCTTTGCCTAATTTTCTATTAGCTGGTAGTTAGGGGGCGGAGTCAGACACTGCCAAGATGGTGATGGTTGGGCGGCTCACCCTGAGCTTCAAAACCACTCTTCAGAAACCTGTGGGTAACGTCACAGAGGCTACGTCCATCTTTATCTACAGTCTATGGTCATCGATGGTGGCCTAGCCTCCGTGTCACATGACACAGGGGGCGCACAGTAAAATAAAACACTCATTTCCACGTCAGGAAAGCAAAAGCAACAATCACTATCACATGTTGCTGTCACCATTTCGGGTGAGTGCACAACAGCAGAATTCACGCACTTTGCCAGTGAGTATACAGTGTAGAGAGTGGACTGACTGAAGCTGGGAATCAAACTGCCAACCCTGTGATTAGTAAGAACCAGCTCTACGCCCTGAGTCACAGCCACGCCCGGAGAACTAAGGTCTGAATTTATCACAACATATACATTATCAAAATCACCCTGAATAACTCCTCCATCACAAACTAAAACGCTGTCATTTTAGTTGTTTGTTGGATGATATTGTCACACGTTTTCTGTAAACGTGCTGCTCACACACAGAACAGTTGACTGTGTTATCAGAGGAAGCAGGAGCTAAAGGCCAGCCGGGAGGAGGTGAGTAAAAATAGCTTTAAACCCCCTGTTAGAAATGTTAGACAAGCAAACACACAACACAAAGACACAAGTGTGAATGTGTATGAACGGATCAATGTTTGTGTGTGTTTGTGTGTGTGTGTGTGTGGGTGGGTTGGGGGGGGGGCTGTTTTATTATATTCATGGAGGACAAAAACGGGGAGCCAACAATAGTTCTGACATCTTTGCAGGGACCAAAATGCTGGACCCCACATGTTTAAATAGCTGTTTGAGGGTTCAGACTTAGAGTGAGTGTGTGTGTGTGTGTGTGTGTGTGTGTGTGTGTGTGTGTGTGTGTGTGTGTGTCCATTACAACAGGAAACAGATCCAGTAGGTGGGGCTGCGACTCATCAGCAAACCTTGACTTGTCTACACCGACATGAAAACAGGAGGAAGCTCCGTGTCATCATTTGTTAAACAGACCTTTTTTACACGCACACAAACACACACACACACACACACACACCAGCCCACAATATGGAGATTGTGTTACAAGTGTATCAGTCTTTCCTGAAATGTTGCCTCAGGCTTTGTCAGAGTTTCCAGGCAGCAGCAGCTCTTTCTGACACATGTCCAGACAGATGTGCAGCATCTGATGCAGCAGCATAATAAGATTAGTGTAAATATTATAAACAGTGGAGAGTCACCACAGAGACGACTGTCAGCCTCTACCATCCTCTACACTGCACTTTCACTCCTGTCTCCTCCAGATGGTCTTTATACATAATCTGTTTTCCTGATTTCTACATGTGCACATTAAACTGAAAGATCAGATGATTTGATTTAAAACAAATGAATTAATTCAATATCATCGGTTTAAGTTGAAAGAAACTTAACATTAGTGGTGGGAGATACAATGAATATATTCCATGCATTGCAACTTGTTTCACGTTGGATGTAGTAAATGACTATATCGCAAACATCGAGTACAAATTGTCACATAACTGTTTTAAGATGCCGGCCTAAAATTCGCTCTTTCCCCCACCCATCCAGACAACTCTCCTGGGTGTGTATGTGTGAAATAGTGTGAGGTGTATGTGGGGAGGCTGTGGCTCAGGAGGTAGAGCAGGTTGTCGTCCACTAATTACAAGGTCGGTGGTTCGATCCCGCGATGCCGCATGCCGAAGTGTGCTTGGGCAAGATACCGAACCCCACACTGCCCCTGATGGCTGGTCCATCAGTGTATGAGTGTGATGTATGAATGTGAGTGAATGGGTGAATGTGGCAAGTATTGTAAAGCGCTTTGAGTGGTCAGTAAGACTAGAAAAGCGCTATATAGGTGCAAGTCCATTCACCATTTTTGTATCTGGAGTGGAGGGAACTGGAGAGTGCGAAAGAAGTGAAGCACCAAAGTGAGATATGTGATCAGATATTGAAGACAGAGGCGAACAAATCGGCTCAGAGAAGAAACAGCTCTCGGTTGAATCCCTTTTTGTTGCTTTGAGCTTTTGTTTTTGTTCAGGGTCAAATTTAACTTGGTTGTGATTTCCTCTTTTTTTCTAATTTCAAATTGTTCTAACAGAAACCACTAATGCAGTGGTTGGCAACTAGCGGCCAAATTGCCAAAACTGGCCCACCAGCAATAATATCTGGCCCGCCAGATTATTTTAATAATTTGATTTGTGTAAATCTTACAATATGAACCTGACAGTCCCACATTTAGTTATAATGTCCAAATAAAGAGTCTCCCTCCACCTGAAGATGATTATTATACTTTTATCTGTGTTGAGAGCGAATGACAGACACAAACAGTCATATCAGGCCACAGTCAGTGCACAGCGCCTGGTGTTAAAAGGCGCTGTCATGGCAACAGTTACCAACAGAATCACTGCCTTTTTAATGATTTTGCCTACAAAATAAAAGTGTGAGGAACTTTGTGCAGCAATGCATTATTTCAAGCTATTGAGAGCTTTTAGTCTGAAAAGTTCTGACAGGACTAACAGCAGTTCAGTAAATCAGTCGAACGTATAATATGTGACTGTGGTCCGTAGCTCCTCATGTGAACAGTAACAAGGTCAATTCAAGCTGCATTCTTTTTAAATCAATTTCTTAAATTAGCCTTTGATTATGCTCTGACCACCATCTATTGGATTAGAAAAAACCTTGTCTACCCCTGAACTAATGAATAAGCAGTAAACAAGAGTGACTGAATGCAGACAGATGCTGCAGGACTAGAATCATCATACTGCTGTGATTTTGTGCATCAAAGGGTTAAATTGTCCATTTATAAAGAGCTTTAGAGGAAATTTCAAAATATCCAGATGTCAAATCGCCCAGCTGTAAACCTCCTCAGCCACAACATGCTTCACTGATGTTACCACTCTGCTAATTAATCAGCTGATTTCATTTGGTGCATTTATACACACACACAAGAAAAAAGTAGGTCATCAGACAGATATGTTACATGCACTTCAGTAATCTGGTTACTGTAAATCTAAAACTGATCTGACTCTGATCCTGTTAATATGACAGCAGCTTATATCAACTGAATTAGTCTCATTAACACTGAAGGACTTCTACTTGTTGTGGTCTTGTTGAGTGCTGTAAGTATTTTATCCATCAATGAAATCATGATCCCTCATGATCCACAGACATACAAATACACATACAATCACTTAAAGAGGAAATACAGCAAATGCAAAAAAAAAAAAACATCTTACCTTCTTGTTTCTTCTTCCCCTGTTTCCTTGAGGGCATAGTCTCAGCTGGACACTCATCTGCAGATGATGACTGACCATTGCTCTGGACTGTAGGGGGCTGGGTCACAGCTGTGGGGTCAGTGACAGCAGGCCGAGAGAAGGAGGCGATCCTCTGTAAGATTGAGCCTACAGTATCTCTGGCATCACCTGGGCCAGTCTCCAAAGACCGAACGGCTCTGGGACTGGAGGGGCTGGAAGGCAGGCTGGGGAGCATCTGGACAGTTTGGGGCCTGGAGAGAATCTCCAGCTGGGGGCTCTGGGCTGGAGAAAGGGGCACTGGAGAGCAACTCATCTCCGGGACAGGGATGGAGCCTTGTGAGGGAGTTGGAGAACGTGGTGAGAAAGGCAAAAAGGGATGGTGGAGGGAGAAGGGCGGGGTGTCAGAGGAACTGTCCAGGCTGCTAAGAGAGGCTGAAGGGCTGGCTGAGGTGGAGGGTGGGCTGGTGAGGTGCTGGAGGTCTCCTGTGCTCCTTGGAGGGGGCTTCGGGGGGTTGAGGTTCACGGATCCACCTGGAGCCTTGGTAGGAGATGTCGTTGAGGTGCTGCTCACCAAGCTGTCCAGATCCAAGGGAAACTTGTTGAGACGTGGTATCTCTTTGGCCTTGGGCTGGGGAGCCTTCAGGACCTGGGAACTCTGCTGCTGGCAGTGGTTTCTGAAGCCACCGTAGCCCTCCTCCCCAAAAGAGGAGGCATTATGAAGATGACCATTCCAGTTGGCATTAGCATTAACATACTTATGCCCTGGAGACATCCTGCCTCCACCTCCACCTGTGTGCATGCCCACCCTTCCTCCTCCTCCATCATGGATTTGGAGGTCCAGGCTTGGCATGGAGCCATGGTTGACCCCCTGAGGCTGTGGAGCACCCAGCACTATCCCTGGCCCCCGGTCCATTTCAGAGTGGAAAACACTCCCATGGGAGGAGAACTTCTTCAGGCTGTGGTTGGCACCTCCTTCTAGGTGCTGCTGTCGGAGTTGGGGCTTGGTTCGGTGGTGCTCCCCCTGAGGAGGTTGGCTGGGATATGACCCAAGCTTGGTAAGAAGGGCGCCCCCACCCCCCCCAGAGTACTCCAGGCTGGAGGTGGAGCTGTGAAGGCTGTCGTTGTCGCTGCCTGGCCCGGACATCATGGAGTAACTGTTGGGGTTCAACCTGCTTTGGAAGGACGCAGCTCTGGCCACGGAGGAGCCGTTGTTGTGGATGGCTGGCTTGTTCATGGTTCCTCTGTTGAAGGACAGGCTGCTGACAACTGTACGAGACTTGAGGACCGGGCTGGGACTGGAAGTCAGGCTTATGCAGGAGTGGTGGGAAGCAGAGCCCAGGCTGTTGTTGTTGTTGTTGAAGGATAATGAAGGGGACTGGCCGCCTCCTCCGCGCTCCTCATTGGCTTTACTGTGGTTGAGGAAGAAATGGGAGGAAGACGGGGAGATGGGGGTGGAGACGGGGGAAGCAGAGGAGAAGGACGGAATGTCGTCCACATCTTCAATTTCAAAGGATCTCTTCAGTGCTGCAGGTGAGAAGAAAGAAAATACAAGTCAGTAAGAAACGCTTTCCGTTCTAACACCTGACCATCACAAGCACCTTCACGTCATATGGACGTCTTTGTGGAGGCAGAAGTGTTCTGTCAGACAGTGATGGACATCTAAAATGCTCCACCATCCACCATCAATTCCTGCTCTTCCTGCTCCCACTGAAGATACAGCAGCATCAGAGTTTTAGCCTGTTTAAATGTGGACTTGAGGAAGGTGGTGGTCACATTTAACAAATGGACACAAATGACATGCTCCACCCTCTGGTGAAGCCTGAACTGTAAACTGTAATGGTTCATTATGGGTAATTGTTTTATCACTGGTTTTCTTCTCTTTAAAGTTCAACCAATCTGGGGGTTTGTTTACAACCTGTCTGACTGATCATGGTCCAGAGATCTCACTGATAAACTTGGTGAGTAAAATGTTATTATCACTGCCAGAAAATAATGTCAGAGCTAATAAAACCATAGTTAGGGGTGGGTGATCTGATGATCTTATACCGTGGATGATCTTACTTTGTCATATGATCTACTTTTCAGATGAATCCCACAGATCGCCTCATTAAAAGTTTCTATATTTAGATATTTCATGTTAAAAGCTCAGTCTCTGCTAACCAGAGCATGTCAACTGTTAAACAGCTAGCCCGCTAACCGCAGCTGGAGACAGCAGTCCTTGTTCTGCTCTGCAGCCTCGGTGAGTTTGGTGTAGCAGCACATGAACCAGATCTCCACCTGAGCAGAACAAGAAACTAATGTCACCAGCTGCAGTCCCAGACGGTGGAGTTACAGTCCTTCTCCTGGACCAGAGACCGGCTGCAGGCAGGAGACAGGAGGAGGGACAAGTCGGGTTGTGACTGAACTTGCAGTTCATGAATAAATAACAATGCAGTCCAAACAAATACTCCATAGATAGATAGATAGATACTTAATTTATAAC